GGCTGTGCCCTGGGTGGCTCCACATACATATACATATATATATATATGTACGTATGTAGTAGTTAGTGTTGGTGGCACAGTGATTAAACACTGAGTTGCTAACTGCTTGGCAGTTTGAATTTACCAGTCATTTCACAGGAGAAAGATGAGGCAATTTGCTTCCATAAAGATTACAACCTTGGAAACCCTATGGGGAAGCTTACTGTGTCCTATAGAATCACTGTGAGTTGAAATCAATTTAATGGCAATGGGTTTAAATAACTCAAGAATCTAGAGGTGTATGGTAGTTTTTTCTTCTGTGTTTCTATTTCCAGACATTATGTGAAAATAATATAATACCTTTTTTGAATATCACTTAATTTTTTTTTATTCCATGAAATGTATGTAGCAAAGCATTTGCCATTTCAACTATTTTTACATGTACAATTCAGTGACCTTAGTTATGTTCGCTGTGTTGTGCAACTATCACCACTATCCATTTTCAAATTTTGTATATTACTTTTTAAATCAGAAAAACTGTTATTTAAAAATAGAAAACAACTCCTAATTTAGTGAATTAAGGTAACAAAGTGAGGTTATGCTGATTTAAAAATAAACTTTGTGCTTCATTGCTTAAATATTAGAACTCTTTAAATACACTGAAATTATTTGTTGTTAAAACCACTGAGGCATATTTCCAACTTCTCTAGCTTGTTTTCCTTTCTATTATTCACTGACAAACAACTGACCGAGACTTTTCCCTTTTCATAAAACTTTGGGCATTGATGGGCTAAGATGTGTGTGCTATTCCTAGCTGTTTTCTCATACAGTATTTGGCTAAATCTGGTAGAGATGAATATTTACTAACCACTCTTCTTAACAAAACACAATAAAAATTAAAATTCATTGGGAAGTGAGCACAGGAAATTAAGACTTGACTTTCAGATGTTTTACCCCAAAAAGAGCTAAAACAAATTTCCTTTTTCTCATGAAATTCCTATCTATTTCCTCTGTGGAGTGATGAAGTATGTACACAACATCTCTGAAGAGCATGTGATTCAGATGCTCAAAGTAAATGACCTTCTAAATTGCTGACCTTGCACTTTGAAGATACAGCATTGAAATGAGTCCCTCTGTGCTTTGTATCAGACTTGTGGGTTATGCCAAGGTTTACTGTGCATAATAGGTTAGGTGTGACACTATTATGCTTTATTCTACTGTGTAAATATGATTAAGTGTTTATATTTTAGTTCTCTATTTTCTTAACACCATTTCAGGCTTAGTTTCATGGGGTTAAGGGCAAATAAGAAGTTAGAAACTAGAACAAAGCTGCCCATCAGAGTATTTACAAAATCATTGCTTTATGTAGATGAACATAGTCAAATCAGTTATCTTTGTAAAAAATAAAGGTACTGGTAAGTGTCACTGTCAACATTAATAATTTGTTGTTGTTGCTGTTATGTGCCATCAAGTCGGACCCAACTCATAGTGACCCCTCCTTGGGTTTCAGAGGCAGTATCACTATGGAAGTAGATTGCCCAACCTTCCTTCTGACATTAATAATTATAATCCCATATACTGAAGCCCCAAACTCCTGATTTTAAAGGGTCTTTGACTTATAGAACTTTAAATTCCAACCTAACCCAAATGGTTAATTGTTTGTGTTATTCTGGAACCAGAATCATCTTGTGTTTGGTAAATGGCTATTCATGGACATTGTTGGTTCTCTCTTGGTTGATGTTTTGAATATAGAAACTGATGATGACATATGTTTTAAAAAGTCCCAAATTGCTTATGTCTGAATCAACAGTAGATATACTCTTAATTCAATCCAAATAGTTTTGATTGCTCATTCTACAGGTTTTCAAATTTCCTAGTGATTTGGTAGACTTGTTAGAACAATTTGTAAATATTTCATTTTGTTAAAGATGGCATTTGAAACCACAAACCATTTCAGCAGTCATAACCAGGAGGCCTGGCTTTCATTTTAACAATTAACCTGATAAGGACTTGTGTTGACAAGCAATTTCCCAACACATTACAATGTGATGATACACATCTTGATCACAGTCTAAAATCACTTCTCCATGAACAATAGACAAGCAGTCTGATTATTTTCTTAAGGAATCAATGTTTATTTTAATCTTCTAAGGAAGTTTTATTTAACCCTACTTAGAAGTGACAGAATATCTAACAATATATTCTAATTAACCTTCCTGTGTTTTTTTTTGGAATATTTATGTTCTTAAATGGAGTGAGAAACTAATAAAATGCTAGTACTACTGAATAATAAACATTTTTAAAGCTGAAAAATAGTGACAGTTATTTATAATCAATTCTCATTAAATATTTTTTTTTAGGGGGAGAGGAGGTAATATTTATAATTTTCCTAAGCAAAAGGCTCAGATCTGATCCTTTGTTCCATTTCTATAGTGACTAGGCCAGTGTCCTGCATGGGTGAGGCTCAACCAATATTCATTGATTTCATAATTATAAAACCTTCTTTTAACATTTTTACAAATATATGAAAATCTATAAGCTAGCCTATTTGATTCTTTTTTCCTTATTTTTAAAACATTGAATAAAATGTCATTTGTTTCCAAGCTTCTTCAAAGGCTTCTTAT